GGAAAAAAGGGGGATAAATGGGGTTGGGTTTGTTTGAACCGGAATAACATACATGTGTGTTATTTGTTTCTGGAATATATTCCTTTGTTTTAAATTTATTTAATGCCACATTGAATGGAACAATTTATTCTTGACAAAGGCTTGTCAGAAATGAGTAGAAAAGTTTTGAGTAAATTAATTATCAATTTATTGTTGATGGAACTGCTATAAACTTTATTTTCAGTTTTATTTTTCTATGGTCATCTTCAATTCAAAAGCATTCCTGTGATATCAAAATGGGTATGTGGCTGAAATTGATGTTTTTAATTGTTTATCTGTTTCCTCTATGAATGTTTGTTGTCATAATGTCCCTCATCCTCATACTTTGATGAGCACCCTCATAGAATATTACAAGTTTTTATTGTAATTTTGAAATATAAACAATTTTACAAAACATTTCCCACCGATTATGTGAATGGAGCTAGTATGGCAATAACTCATTTTAAATATGTAACAGCGCCACCAATTTCAATGTCTAATGGGAACACAACTACTTGTAGTACAGTAACAGTTTTGGATTCCTAATTTATTTATATTTAGTAGTGGCCATGTGATGTAACATGAAAGATGTAAAGAAATAGATTTGCAAAACTGTAAACAAATATCTTAAAAATAATGTTGATATTGAAACAGAATTTCGAGAAATAAAAGATCTCATTTTAAGGATTGTTGTTTTTTTTTATCTTTAGAGTTCAATATTTGCATGTAGGCTCAATTTGGGATATTTCAATATATAGTAATGGGAAATAGTTATGCAACTTATATACCCTAAGGTCAGGCTCCAGAGGGGGAAAATTTTGATATGTTGTACAACTGATTTTTCGAAGACACAAAAAGTATATTTGACGAAAAAACTCGAGAACAGTTAGTGAAATACAGTTTTTTTTAATATTTAAAAACTTGGGAAAAGGGGCCGTAACAACCTATTTTCAACCTTTTTGCCCCAATTTTATAATATTCAAAAATGTTTTCCTCCAGAGCCTGGGTTTAAGACATAAACCACAGGTGGGCAAAGTGGGGCCCGACAGTGATTTTTTTGCGCCCCATGAAAATTAATTAAAAACCTTATGTGTGCGGTATCTTGTTTTTTTACGGCCTGACACCAAATATCTTTAATAGGTAATATTAAAGCTTAGCATAAAGCGGTATAACAACAGTGTACAAGCGTTTGTGGAAGCGCACTGGAAACATCAAATTTTGAGTAAGGCCCACTTTGGCCCTCCGACCAATTTGTATGCTCATCGCCCCCCCCCCCGGCATAAACCATTCTGTTTTTTACAGCAATGCGATAAATACAAGGAATCGCCTGTCTGCTGCAGTTCAAAGTTTACTAGTTTGATTCTGAAGCAGATCACGTTTTCTTAAGCTTTGCTCCAATTACTGTACAGTTTATTACCCAATTATCCTGTATTCACAAATGGCATTACTAATTCGTCTACACTAAAAGTTCGCGTTCATGTTTTCGTCATAAGTCATTATATTCTTATTGTGAAAAGTACACATCTCGATGGCTCTGCGTTATTAGGTATATTCGCGTCATTACTGTGTTAATTTCAATTGGTCTGTGGAAATGCTTATCTTATTTAAATATATAGTGTACTGTACTTTATATTCTAAAGCCCAGTGAAGACCATTAATCATTACTTGACAAAAACATGATCTTGATGACATCACGTCATTACCATGTAATATATATATTGTCTGATTGTGTTTAAATTGCTTGACTTTCAATATATCAGATTTAAAAAACTCCTCAGTTTTCCATTTTTAACAGACGTTTTACAACAATAATCAATAAATTTACTCCCGAAAAATGTTCAGGTATAGGCCTAAGGGTAAGAAAGAAAATTTTGTTGGGCAACATTTTTATGTCAAAGAAAATTTGATAATCTATACAGAGCTTGATACACTTGGTATAGGCCTGCTTCGATATCTTAGTTTATCTTTCAACTGAACATTAGGACGAAAATGTTCTCGCCAATACACGGTGACGCGTAAATACAGTACTGTAATACAATTCCTATAGGCTAGACATTGCATACACTTAGGCCTGTACCTGAATATTTTTCGCGAGTAAATTTAAGGATTATTGTTGTAAAACGTCTGTTAAAAATAGAAAACTGAGGATTTTTTTTAATCTGACATATTGAAAGTTAAGCAATTTAAACACAATCAGACAATAGTGATAATGCATTATCACACTTTGGTGGGGGAAGGGACGGAGTTCAAAACTTGCCAACATTGTTTTTGATTGATTCCTTGGGCAAAACACTACCCTTCGAACGGGACGTAGAGCCGTTTACCTTGTGTGCAAACGAACATTTACAATGTAAACAAAAAATTCAATATCGGAATCCATGCTTACGCAAGTTGTCCTTTTTCAATTGAAAATTAGAACAGAAAAATAATGATCGCTCACAGCAGTCAACAGAGTACTGCCTATTATATTTACATAGGCCTATTTTACTTCATTCTCTTCGAATAGTGCGTGACTCGCTTGCAGGAAGTAGGCCTAAGTGATGCTGAATAAAAACAAAGTACCATTATATGAGGCTTAATTGGAGTTCAATGTACGATGTTCGTATAAAGTTAATCGCTAACAGCTTAATAAATATCTGGATACCTCCCTTCCTAAATAATAATACTGTAATAATAACATCAATATATTTCACAGTTTAATTTATATACACACAAGTACGAAGTACTGTATACCAATGCGAATTAAAATCGCCAATGCGAATCAATGTGGTCTAGAAATTGACTGTAAATATATTGTAATTATTTCCAAATAAATATATATAATAGTATTGTATAATGACGTATTTAGTATATACCCGAATTACATTTTTTAATATTAATTTTCTAAAAGGTAATGTGTACGGTACCTATGCGAATTAAAATCACTAAATGCGAATCAGTGTGGTCTAGAAAATGACTAAATTGTAATTATATCTAAATAAATCAGATATGTTATATAATGACGTCATATACGTTTTTACCGCTGGAACAACATGGTATACACCAACATGGCAACAGACCACATGCAAACTTGCGAATTGTTACACTTCAAAATGTTTCTATCTATTTTGTACTTGGTTTCCGTACAGTTACCGTATCTTCTCTTTTAACTGGTGGTAAATGATATAATTTGCGCGCCTGCTTATATTTATTCGCTTCTCGTCTCTCTCTTAATTCCTCCAGCCAGTTTCGAATCCATCCTGCCTTATCTCGAAATATTTTTTCGTCCTTGTTACCATAGTAATTGTCGAACACTTTTAAATTAGTTCTGCTCAGTTGAGACACTTGCGTTGTGCCTCTATAATCTTCGGCTAAATCCGAAGCATTTTTCGCTGTTGACTGCATAGAGGAGGACGATCTTCTCCTGGTTACAGACATTTTATCATCGTTGATTCGATACAAATCATTTAAAGTTAAATATTTCTGTGCTGTATCTTTCTTTTTCTTTAAAGCATAGCTCTCTCCATTGTAACGAGTTTCTGGCATCCAAGCCGTCACGCCGCATCTGTGTTGCGTCGGGACTTGTTCCCAATTCCACGACCAATGTATTCCTTGATCCCTTTGTCGTGACTTTGTTTGCTGAACGACTTTAATATCTGACGTATGTCTTAATTCCGCAGAGGCACTTGTCATATTCACTGTCCATCTTTTTGTATTTCGGTATTTCAGTTTACAATATTAAAAAACCACTATGATACAATCACTTTAAACTACAAAAGCATATATTATCCTCTAAATTTGTTTATCGAATGATGTTCATTAGAAATTGAAATTGTTGAAACTAGATACCGGTAATGTCTTAAGTAATCGTATATTTCCGTAATAAGACGGCATTATCCAAATGCAATCGAATTTGTTGCAATATTTACAACGGCTGAATAAACATGTAGACCTACCATACGTCGACAGGCTAGGTCTATTTTCTTGTTTTCCCTTTGTACTTCATTTTTCTTCTTTCTTCACGAACTTATTCTTATTGTCCTTCTTACTTCATTCTTCTGGTTATTATCATTCGTTTATCGTGACCCTAGTCCTAGTATACAAACGATCAGGGACGACCGCGAAACGTTATCGTTCACTATCCAAGTCTGGGGGAAGTTGACCACGATAGTTCACTGTCCAAATCTGGAGGACGTTAAATACATTTCATACCCCATCCATGAACCTATGATCCATCCATAATACAGTTTACCAGGCTGGAAATCCACTCCTCCTCACGCACGATGGTTGATTTTTATAATATTGTTTTATCCAACGGTATAACCTAATGTTTTGTGAGCTCGATAAATGATGATGTGCTGTCCTTTGGACACCTTTAAGATCAATAACAAACCCGAAATAAAATAATAGGATTTACGCTTAAAGGTCACGTTATTGTCTTTGCTACTATTAGTTGCCCACGGGACCTCGAGTGTTGGTACTTTAATAAACATGATCATATGAAGATTGATTTCTATGAACTTTGAGATACAATGGGCATCGGCAAACCGTATTCGACTTCTAAAAAAATATATATTTACATTATTATATTACTTTAATAAGCCTTTATAGATGATTATTCACGCATAGAAGGCTTTCAACATGTTCGGCATTACTGTAAAAACTAATGTAGAGTTAATCTCTTTATATTTCATTATAAACAAAAAATATTATACAGGCCATATACCATACGGGCCTATATAGATTGAATTATAGTCATTATATATATATTAATTATCCTCTAAATTTGTTTCTAGAATGATATATATGCACATAGTTCGGTTAGGGTGGGGTATGCGGGTCATTAGGACCTTAGTAGAGTAACGCCCCTACCCCAGTAATGCATAGTTTATTTAGGATGGGGATGCAGGTCATTGGGACTTTAGCGTAGTAACGTCCCTACCCCTGTAATGCATAGTTTGGTTAGGGTGGGGTGTGCGGGTCATTTAGACTTTAGGGAAGTGACGTTCCTACCCCTGAATGCAGTCTTTGTCTAATATTTTATTTGTCTTTTGTCATTGTATTGATATGGATATGTGATTCCGAAATAAAAGTTGAATAGGAAAAAAAAATACGGTACACTATACTTAATTGTATGCCAAGCTTAAGCCTAGACTGCCTCTTGCCCTATTTTATCCGTAACCTCGCACGTCTTTGACCATCATGCACTGTTAGGCCTACGGGTAGTTAATGACCATCAATTCGACAGAGAATCTCATTAATTATTAACATGCATTGATCCTCGTTTTGTCAACCTGTGTCCTCGGTAACGTAATAGCTGACATTTTGTTTGTTCTATCTATGAATTAATTATCATCTAGTAGATGAGGAACGGTAATGATTCTTGGAAATAATTGGTCGTCTTTAAGAAAAAACAAAAAAACGCAATTCGATTATTACGACAGACAAACAGGTCTCAGATATATGTGTATCGCATTTTCCAAGTTTAAACAAGTATTTGGTTGTCTAAAACAATCATCATTAGTGGTCGGAATAATGGTTTTAATGTTGACTTTCCGAGGGTTGGATAATCACTCAAGCAGGGGCGGATCTAGCGAGAAACACAGCTTTAAAAAAAAGCATTTTTACCGCCATTTCAGAGCGTCTAGAGGGGCCTATTCTTAAAATGTGTCCACCTTAGCCCCAACCATAGTGGGACTGAGGTGGGTGTGGAATACTTATTGCCCCCCCCCCCCTTCTGAAAATTCCTGCATCCGCCCCTGAAGAGTAAATTTGTTCAATTTTTGATAATCCCGTCTCCAATGCCCTCTCTTTATTCGTTTCCTGTTTGTGACTGAAAGACGAAATAAACCTTTATTAAACCTGCGTTTTATCGCCTAAACAAGTTTGTAAAAATACATGAATAATTGATTATGTATCAATGTCATCGACTCGCTCCGATCATTAATCCACACAGCTTAGGTAAGCCTATAATACGTCTGCGATGGTAATGATAACGAGTTATTATACAAGGCAATCAAATCTTTTGGAGCAAAGATATTTATTTTAGATTGGATTATTTTTTTTAATGATTTTGGACAGAAAAATTATAATTTTTTAGTTTTGATCCGACGACCTCGTCGTGGCATTGGAGAGCCACAGGTGCCAGGGAGCTCAATTTCAATACGAACATACGAAAAAATGTTAATGTATAAACACACATTGAAGACATCCATATTTCAACGAATTTCATAATATTGAAATTCAAATGATAGATATCATTAAAATGAAGTTTTAAGAGCAGATATGCTCTTGAAAAAAGATGGACTTGGTGTGATAGAACTATTACTTGAAGGTCAAGATCACTGGTTCTCTGGTTTAGCTAATAAACTTAAAATCAGTCTCTGGAGGAAAAACAATTTTTGATATGTTGTAGCACTGATTTTTCTAAGACGGAAAAAAGTTGTCTGACAAAAAACCGCCCTTTTTTTACACCTTTCAAAATAACGTTATTTAGAAAGGCAAATTATATTTTGTGTATATTTTTCAGCCGACGACCTCATCCTGGCATCGGGGGTCCAGGGTTGTTACCACCGCCAGAGAGCTCAATTTAAATCTGAACATACAAAAAAGTTCAGACAAATTTAAATGTATAAACACATAAAACATAAATCCATATTTCTTTGAAATGTTTATTCATAACTATGTTACAATATTGAAATTTAAAAATGATAAATATGATTAAAATAAGTTTTAAGAGCAGAAACGCTCTTCAAAGAGATGGATTTTATGTAATAGAGCCATTACTTAAAGGTCATGATCATTAACAGTGCCAGGATTTGTCCAAAGGGAAGGGGTGGTTAAATGCCCTGAAAGAGGATCTGACGATTTTTGATGCAGACCAGGGGTGATTCCCAGGTGGGGTCCAGGGACTACTAATCCACACCTTACAGAAACTTCAGGGCATTTTGAGATGTTTTAGACAGTCTTAACAGGGACGCTTAAACTCTTCCTGTCACCCTTATGAATCCGCTAATACTTGTCATGATGCTTGTATTTCAATACCAGGATTTTGGGTTCAAATCCTGCCAAGAAAACCCCCACAATAAAAAAACAGCCCTTCTTCAATCCTTATAATAATAAGACTAATCTGTCCACACTATAATGTTTTATAAGACAAACACACATGATTTGCCAATACATGGGTGATATGACATCATCATGCACATATATGGGAGTGATATGACACTGTCATGCCCATATATGTGAGTAATTAACACTGAACCATGTGGAAGAGCAGTAAATTGCTAATGAACATGTTCACCAGTACAAATGAGAAACAAATAGTTAAGCATTTTAGATGAATACTTGTCAAAGAGGTTTCATCCACATGACCATCAGTGATTATTCAAGAAAAGATATCAAGACATTTGCATTTATCATTTGCAATCCTGCAAAACAATAAAAGTTTTTTTGTAGCATCCAATGCTGTAACGAGACCACTGCCGCACAGGAAATTTTGCCGCATATGGACCACTGCTGGACAGCGACAGTTGCCGTACAGAGACTGCTGGTGTATGCATCCGCTGCCATACAGCCACTATACCAAAGGCTGCTTTCAGAGGAACTGTGCCATTGGGTCAGCTTCTCTCTGCTTCAGGAGTCGCCACGCTTCCATTTCCTCCTCTGTTGGTTCTTTGTACTGATCCATTGACTTCATACTGTTATATGACCTCTTTCGTTCATCCATTGCCAATATCCTATCAGCTTCCTTCTGTCTCTGAACCTCAGCTATCAAGGCCTAGAAATAATAAGTTGCAAACAAATATTACATTTGATACAAATATTCTGGCAACAAACACAAATCAATTATACTTAACCACATTATTTTCTCCACATTCAACTTGTTTCAGCATATTTTTGATTAAGCAACTAGTGTTGGAGTGGGTCATCTATATAAAGAATCTGCATCAAACATTAGTAAAAACATTACTTACTAATTCAATATTATCATCATAGCACGGATGTTGTTACTGACGCTGCTGTGTGCATATTAGTATAATAGTAATATAATATTATCAATATCATGACTATGTTTAATATTACAAATTCTCATAATTTTACTAATACCATTGTAATTTAAATAAATAATAATTTTCAACATCCAAATATTATGCATACCATTTGTCCATTCTAGAATACAGTATAACAATATATTTGTAAAATGTTGTAATTTCGTTTAGTAAAAAAAATGTAATAAATGATATTTCCAAAATAGTCCTCATTAACTAAAGTCCTCTTTACCTTCTTCAATTTCTTCCTCCTGATTTCTTCTTCATCTTCACTGCTTTCATCCTCACTATCCTTTGCTTGCTTACTGTGTTTTCGTTTTTTCTTCTTCCTCTTCTTCTCTATCTTCTCATTGAGAATCTTTTCCTTGTGTTGCTAAAAAATAATTTTAAATCAAACTTTACTGTACCTCTGCAAATTCACACTTGTGAAATTTGTCTACACTACTATTGATAGCATTCGAGACAAAACCAGTCTGTAACGACCACATGGTAAACATAAAATGTCAAATAGACAAATTGAGCAAAGATATCATGCATACCTCCACTAATGACTTTGGTTTCTCCTCCTCGATTCTTTCCAGCCTGTCTTGACCCATCATGGAAAGGGCGCCCCCACCTGCCACGGCAGCTTTGCCTGCTTCACCAGTACAGTATGACATCTTAACAAAAGAATGACAACATCCGTAGCCCCACTTGCCTTCGAACCAGAATGAACCCCACACCGTCTGCAAATATTGAGATCAAAACTTATGCTTCACTTATAATATAAAATCGACAGAAATGCAATTTAACTCAACATGGGAGTATGATGCAAGTCAATGTGATTCAATAAAAAAAAAAAGAAAAAGAACATTATGTAAAAAATTAATACTCACTGTGTGGTTGTTAATATATACATCCTCTTCGTATTTAGATTTTGCTACTGCTTTCTCCTGACCTTTAATCACTGTGCCTTGTCTAGAATATTCCACATAATCCTCCTGAAAAAGTGGTTAAAATGAACATAATAAAAATTAAATACAGAAAGTGATCACAGTGCATTTGCCTACAAAATATTTCGTAAGTACTATATAGAGTAGCATTCCTACATGTTGTGCATGTCTTAATTTTGTTAATCCTGTTAATATAATTTGCCCTCCTTAGTGATTGGCTGTGTAGCGTCATATATACCTATTAATAATAATGATTATTGTATATGACAAAATTATCACTATTATGTAATGTTCTAATCTGGTGACTAAGGATAGCATTATTGAAAAAAATAAAACAAAATGTAAAAATTTAATACAAAAAAATCCAGGTGGTAGCAAACTAGAAAAGCTAACACATACAAATCATACTTTGGCGTAATGTACTTCTAATTACTATTTATCAGTGTGGCACCCATTTCCTGTTGTAGAGTGTGCTGAAGATTTTGGAACTCACCGTTTGAGCCATGAGCAGTTCCCTTGGCGGTGCTTCTAAATGTTCTTGCCCTCCATACTGTAAAAGCACAATTTCAATGGTGATAAGAACATAATTATAACATGACATTACATATTACAAATAACATGTAGAAAAGTTGCAAAGAGAAAGGCATTAAGTTCAAGTATGTAATTTATTCATTCATTCCTTTATTTTTTCACTTATTAATACCCTTATTTGACCAATGGCAACATATCCAATTCACATTGGTTAGATGCAGTGATATCTTCAATTTGATTTTTTTCTTATTTATATTATCAGTCCAGTTTAGTTTTAGATAGTTTTTAATTTATTTTAACACAAGTTTTGTATGCTCAATACGGAAGACGTGTATTCTCACACCAATTAGAAAGAAATATATCCAAGAAATAAAACAAATAAAATTATCAACAATTCAAATTCCATGTACGTTAAGAATTAGTTCTCATAGTAATAACTGCATTAATATGCCTCAAAATGAGACTTAATTTACAGAGCATCCCACAAAATTTTTATAAGAAAGTTGTCAAGCCTACCTTGTCTAAGATACTGTTTTTCTGACCTTTCTTAAAGTCTTCTGCTTTCACCTCAAACTCACGATTAAGGAGTTCTAATTTGGTTGGATCTGCTTGCAGATGGATATCAGTTCCTTTATCTGTTGCCTCCCAAGCAAACACTAAGCCAAAATAAAATGTGGGGTACGGTAAAAATTTCCAAGGTAAAAACTGTTGATTCAAGGATTTTTATTGTACAAACATTTTATATTTTAAATGTAATTGGAATTTTATCTGTATATATAATTTTACTGCAAATTGTTCTACTTCAATTTGGTGTAGAATTTTATATCTTGTCAGACTTCAATTAAATGAATTTTGATTGATGTAAATAATTATATATCAATTTATTTGAGTAGGCATGCAATTTGAGGTATTTCTTCTGAGAAATATTTGTAAGACTCATACCCTCAGCTTTTGTCCCTGCAAGGGCTGGTACATAACATTGTTCAAAAAGCAGGGGGTGGTCTTATACCCAAGGAGGACTTACGCCCGAGGATATACGGTATTAGGTAGGATTAAATTAGAAATAAAAACAAACAAGCAAGCAAGCTTACATTGAGCATGAGCCATTTTCCCTGTGTCTCCACTTGAACGAACAAAATTCTCCCCTGCAAACTTTAAACTGCAAAGAAAGATCAATACATTTTTAATATTTAAAAAAAATGTTTTAAGCTTCAAAAACATTGAGAGGTCCAATATATAGTGTCCTAATTTAAAGCTTTGTCCAGACAATCACATTTTATTTGACCAACTACTGTTGTATGCCCATATATAGTCATGATGTGTCTATATATGGTCATGATATGATGTCAACATGACCATATTTAGCCATGTCATGTTTTTTTTCAATTAAAATTTAATAGTCTGGACAAGAATTTCAACACCTGAAAAATTAGATGAATAATCCATGGAATGTCGTTCGTAAAGTTTGACT